GCAGTACAGTTACACATGTAGAAAGGGAACTTGATCTTGCCTGCTTTGTCCTATTCTGCCTGCACCGTTTCCTTGTCTTATTGTCCCCCCCCCAACGCCTTTTCATACCTTGGTGTGTCTCTTCGGCATCTACTTCTATGATGTGGCCCTCCTCTGTGGTTTTTATTCAACAAGAATACAACAAAGAACAACACTTTGGCCTCTTTGGACATGTTTGGTTTTGCCTCCCTCTGTGAACTTCCCCAGGGTGCATTGAAGGTTAATGACTGGCTCCATTTTTGGAATTTTCTTGGATCCCTTTTGGAGAAAACTGCCAAAGAGGGCTCAAACATGTCTAGGCTCTGCTGAGTCCTTGGAGGTTGACTCTGCACGCCTGTTCCCTTCTATCCTTTCTGAGCCCAGCTTCTCAAACATCCTGCAGGAGCATTAGCATCTTTCGCTCATGTGAGAAAGGAGTCTGTGACCCTTAGCACTAAAAGAAGTGCTGGAACTCCTATCCATGCAGTAATACTCTTCCTTGTCCTCTGACAGGTGGGACATTGTTTCTCACTCATTGAGTTTTTAGCCCTTTTTATTCTCATCTCTCATCCACAAGTGATGGGGGTTGTCTTTCTGTATATATGTTTCTCTTATTGGTTGATGAATAAAACACTGTGGTCAACGAGGCAGGAAGATAGGTGGGTCTAGGAGACAAGGAGAATTCTGGAAAAGGTAGGCAGGAGTCATCTTGTAGACCTCGGGAAGAGAGGTCATGCAGGGTATTCTCTGGTAAGCCAAGACCACATGTGGAAATGCTTAGATTAATAGAAGTGAATTAATAATTAAGACAGAGTTAGCCAATAAGAAGCCCAAGTCATCGGCCAACAGTTTTATAACTAATATAGTGTCTTTGTGTTTATTTGGGGGCTGAGAAGGGCAGAGGGACCTTGCTGGACAAAAGAATCTCTCGTTACACATAAGATTCTCAGTGATTTTGATGAACAGTTTCAAAGTTCCTGTGGGTTATGGGGAAGAAAGAAGTTACCCTGTGAGATTTAACCTGCAAAGGAGAGGGGATGGGAGATGTATTGTGGAAGTAGTTGATCAGACAGACTCAGTAGTGTTTAGTTAAAGGGGTACTGGGTTACAAGGTCACTGAAATTGACCTGATATATTATGTTGTTTGTTTACATTATGATTCTTCCTGTTGTAATAGATTAAATCCAAAATGGGTCAAACAAAAAAGATACTCTATTGTCTTCTGTAACCAAACAGCTCAAGGAGTAGGGCTGTCTTCATGAACAGTTCTGTGCAGGTTGAAAATGGTACTACTACAAGGACTCCTGATTTTCTCTCCAGATGTTTTGGCTTTTCTCTTTGACATTGAGTTACTCATAGGCAGGCTGCCCCCTCAAACTCACAGGCTGCCTGTGGAGGCTCCTCGGTTCTCTTGTACAAGGGATGTGATAGCCATTTGTAGTGGAAGGGTTAGTTAGTTTCATGACACTTTGCTTCCTGTGTATCTGGAAATAGGAGAGACCCTGGAGATCAGATGTGTCCTTTCCCAGGGCTACTGTAAATGCTTCCTGGTGTTTGATTGCCACTGCTGTTGCTTGGTAGCAAAACCCTGATTCCTATTCAGCATTCTCCATCCACCTTATGAGTGCATGCTTCAGGACTGAATTGTTGGTTTGTTCTTATCTTGGCCCCTTTCCTCTCCACTATGATTGCCTTGACACAAATATGGTCTACAACTTCGGTCAAGATGTAGAGGAAAGACATCTGAAGCTTTATATGAAACATTTCCCTGCACTTGACAAGGGTTACCAAAGCAGAGGTAGTCTCTTGACTTAGAGATTGTTGTCCAGAGGCAAGGTCAGTAGTCATTGTCACCATTTAGTGGCTAGAGGGGAAGTAACCTAAGGACCAAGTACAAAACACAAAGTTGATGAGCTGAGGATCATCTCCCCAAAAGAGGGAAAGAACCAAGGGCTTTGGTGATACCTCAAAACTCCAGTATCAAGCAATGTGATAGCCACCTTCAGTCTTCTTATGTGGGACAATAAATTCTTGTTGATTAAATTCTTTTGTGTTATACTTCCTTATTTAAAGAGGAAGTGTTCTTTGTGGCTGTGTGATCTCCTGGTCTAGACTGTGAAACTCCACTCTTTTCTCTTTCATACTGCACTCAACTGAAGACATTCCAAATGGTGCCTGACCACTCACCATGGGAAGGTGGTGTGTGATTGGCTGGAGCCTGGACGACCCAAACCTCTTTCTTCTACTACTTGGATCAGTTTACCTTATCAAGCCCATGGACTGAATGTGGAAGATGAAGAGTATCCACAGAGCAATGAGAACATAGGTCCCATAAAATACTCAAATAGATAATGAAGCAAAATTTCTGATGTGCAAGGGTTTGTGCTTTTGTGTGAGCCCTTCTTCCAATGTTTCAGACTCGGTACATGATGGTTTTGGATGTGCACTTGATCTGATGGTCCAGCAAACTCAACTCTTGCAGATGCTTTAGACCAAGGACAGACATACTAACACTATTTATTCATCTCAACATCCCATGAAGCCTTTCCGTTAGGATCTTTGATCTCCAGCTTTTGGCCATAAGCCATTTTGAGATCATACCAAACACAAATGTGACTCATGGCTGGGTAGATGGAGAGCTTTGCTGGAAGAGCCACCAGACCATTTCTCAGTGGGTATCACCCCTCACACCCTGTGGTTTCAGGCCCTCATCTCATGTACTTCCTGAAGTTCAGCTGTCTCATGGCTCTCGATATCAGAGAGGTATGTAGAAGAGGATCAGGTCTTGCTCTGCCTAGCGATTCCTGTTCTGTTGACTGGAATGTCACTGGTCAGGAGAGTTTTGCAGTCAGCTGTTCAAGAGTAGAGGGCTTACCTAGTTCATGAAATCCTGGAGATCTGGCATGCTCAGGGAAAACAGAGTCGTTTGTGCTATTCCTGTTTCATCTTTGCTGAATGTGTTTCAACATCTGAATATTTGAAAATTAAATACACATTTTGAAAAAGATTCTGTATTTCTGCGTATGAACTTAAGTAACCTCATGGCTAGAGAAACTAATCAATATTAAAATGCCTCTCTCCAAAGTTGTTTCCTCTGTGACTCACAGAAGACTAGCATTTTTACCCAGAGATAACTAATGTGAACATGCTTGCCTTTGCTTAAACAAAAACAAAGAAACCTGTATTTATTCAGATTGATTTCCAGAGGGAAGGAAACTGAGAATTCCAAGAACCTTTTTGGGAGGGGAGGATTACACAGGGTCAACTACCCTGGAGTGGATACAGCCTTAAAGGGCCCCATATCTCCTACTGCTCACTCTTCTGTGCTGACAGCACCTTCACAAGGGCGCTTCCACCCAGAGAGCTTCCAGAAATGACTCCACGGGGACACACCCTCTGTCTGCCTGGACCTCTATTTGCCCATGATTTTTTACTCCACCTCGTTCCCTGTGTAAGCATTCTGGCACTCGGAAGTCACGGAATACTAAATGTTACACAGCTCAGATGGAAAGGTATCCTGGAGCTCGGGAGCCAAGGACTATCACAGGTTGCAGCAAGCTTAGCAGCTTACAGCCCTGCCACAGGGAAAGGCTTCCCAGTGTATCTATTGGCTCTGCTCGGCAGGTGTCTTCCAGCTGGGGATGTTTGCCCATTGTAGCAGCTTTGCTCCAGCAGGAGAAGGTTTCCCCGGGGAAAGTTGCTACAGTTCAGCTCTGCTCCCGGGAGAGTGGAGACAACTCTGCTCTGCCAGGGGAAGGTTTCCCAGCCCTAACTCTGCTCTGCCCAGGGTCGTCTCTGCTCCACCGCAAAACAAGGTCTTCACCCAAAGCTCATCCAAGAAGTTTATTGGGAGAGAAGAATCCAGGAGACTGGCTACCAGGTGGCAATGAACAGCCACAAGCTGAACAGACACAGGATTTATATAGGGCTTCCAGGGTGGGGATTGGTCAGATTTCAATCTCCTACTCAGCGATTGGTTCTGCACAGGGTTAGGGTCAGATTTCGCTCTGGTTTCAGGGTCAAAGTGTGTTCCTTTCTCTGGTCCTTTTTAGTCTTTTGGCTCTAGTTTTAGGGCCAGGGTGTATTTCTTTCACTGACTCTGATTCCAGGGACAATGTATGTTTCTTTGGCACTAGTTTCAGGGTCAGGGTGTATTTCTTTGGTTCTGGTTGCAGGGCCTCTGCTCAGGGTGTGTTTCTTTGGCTCTGCTCAGGGTGCGTTTCTTTGGCTGGTCCTTTTTCCCTACACCCTGCCTCTGAGGGCTGGATCACTGGATTCACCTTACAAGAAGAAAGCAGAGAAAAAGATGCTCTCTGGGATAGTTCTCATCGCTATTCCCACCAAAGGTCTTTAAAAACAACAAACAAAGAAACACCGCCCCCTCACACACATCCAAAACAAAACAAAACACACCGATGGCTGCCAATCTAAAAAGATCAAAATTACCAGTGCTCAGTGCTTTCACAATACTTGAAGGAGACAAGCATGCTCGGTATGATTAAAAATGGTTATTTATACAGTCGCCCTGAGGTTTGTGCTCCATAAGAGGACTGACCTTTGACCTTGCCACCTGAGTCCTTCCACACAAAGCAGTCAAGCTCCTCCTTTGGGCAGTGCCAGGTTTGGGCTTCAGGAGCAAGCCGTGCCAACTCTTCCTCCACACTATTCTACACCTGGAATGTCACTACCTGACCAAACAATAAGGGCTGAACTTTAAGATCCATTGTCCACATAATTTGTTTGGGGATCTGCAAAGCCTGAAGACTATTTCAAGGAGTTTTTGAAAATGCACCCCAGGAAAGGGAGGAGAATCCACCAATGTCCTTTGAGTTTGGCTGGAGCTCTGGGCACTTTGGTTCCTGGTGACCCGCCCCCCCCCAGTACCTGGGGCCTTCCCTGCCTTAAGTGGTCCTTGGCTGGAGTCCTTCAGGGAAGAAGGGGGCGGGGTATCTGGGGATAGCTACATCCGCACAAAGCCCTGAGAGGCGGAAGAAGCTGTGCTCAGCATCTGGCTGATGTTCAAGCGCTCTTGGGGCAGGCTTCAGGCAGCTTTGGGTCATTTAGAACCCATTTTGCCTGGAATTGAATGCAGGGGCAAGCTAGGGTCACCACCTGCGGGCTGGGGGCGGGGCAGGCCACACACGCTGAGGGACGTGGAGGCCGGGTGAGTTAGAAAAATGTGACCCCAAGACCCCGAACGCTGCCAGGCTCCCTCTCCTGTGCTCCACCTGCTCGTCAGCGCCCAGCGGCCAGCCGGCCATGGCTAGCCCTGCGCCCTTAGTGGCTTCCATCAGCCACCAAATGGTGGCTCTGCAGACCCTGCAGCTGCTACAGCAGGAGTGGGGCTGGGGCGACGGTCCTAGCGCCCCTGGAAGCCCGCGCGGCCCGGACCACGTGCCTGTCGCCCAGGCTCGTCACTCAGGCCAGATGCGGACCCGGCGTGGGCAGGGACGCGGGGTCGCGGGAGTGCGGAGCTGCCCCGAAGCAGGTGGGCTGCGGGGCGCAGAGGGGGGCGCCGAGCTGCTGCCCTTCCCCCGGGACCGTGGACCCTGCACCCTGGCGCGAATGGCGATGCGCAGCGCGCTGGCCCGCGTGGTGGACTCGACCTCGGAGCTGGTCAGCGTAGAGCAGACTCTGCTTGGGCCTCTCCAGCAGGAGCGGTCCTTCCCCATCCACTTGAAGGTGAGTTTGTTCTGCAGACCCCTTGACCTCCAGCGTCTGGATAGAGTGAATGGGGACACAGGGGTTCAGGCAGGGTGTGGTCAACCTTCTGTGGGCGGGCAAAAGGAGACAAGCGCTGAGGACTGGCGTGTGGGACAGAGCTTGAGAACCAGCCACCTGGGATCCTCCTGACTAAGGAGCTAGACCTGGATCGGTGTGTGGGGGTGTGTGTGTGGGGGGAGGAAGAAGCCTTGCCAACTTGTCAAGACCTCCTTGTAACATAAGTCACTTTCTTTTAACCTGGGGAAGTCAGCTGCCCCTTCCTCCTCCTCCAAGCTTTTCAAAGAGTTAAGAACACTTTAAGTCCCCAGCTGCGTATATTATGAAGGCATCATTCACATTTATTTAAAGTACCTTCACACTCATGATTCACAACTATTTTGCATAAATCCAGTTCCTCACAGAGTGCAGAAACCTGACAGAGAGCCTAAATCCTCATGAAGTGGGCTGAGGGCAGGTGGTACCAGATGTTGACAGGCCTGCTCAGGCTTGCTAATAGCAACAGGGACTCCTGCTGAGGCAGCTGATATGTCAGGGCAGAACTGGGAAGACAGCTGAGGTCGGCTGGGGTCTAGGGTTTTGGGGTCCAACCCTGACCCTGCCATCGTGCTTTGCTAATTTGATTGATTTGACATGAGCTAGGGACATCAGAGAAGAGGGGGCCTCAGTTGAGAAAATGCCTACATCAGATTGGCTGCAGGCAAGTCTGTGAGGGCATCTCTGAACTGATGAATGATGTGAGAAGAGAGTGGAGAGCCCTTGGGCAGCTGGTCCTGGGCTGTACAAAAAGCTAGATGAACAAGCCACCGGGAGCAAGCTGGTAACCATGGTTCTTCCATGCCCTCGGTTCACTTCCTGCCTCAGGTTCCTGCCCTGACTCCTGCATGAAGGGCTCTAAACTGTGAGCTGAAATAAACCCTTTCCTTCTCAGCTTACTTTTGGTCGTCGTCATGTTTATCACAGGAATAGAAAACAGACCAGGACATAGGGCATGACTTTTTGGAACCTGCTGGCTCCCAAGTTTTGGCCAGGAGCATCATCTTGTCCATCCACTTGGGAGTCCAGAGGAATTGGGGTGTTGAGGAGAGCTTGGTTCATTCCTTAAGGGTTGATGCTGTTCTTATTCTACTAGCCAAAAGTTTGGAAAACATGCACTATATTAAGTTGCATCATAGATTAAGAAAGATTCAAATCAAACATCACCAAGAAATGTCTGATACAGGGGTGTCTTTCTCCCCTCCCACCGAGAAAAAAATTTAAATTCTGTCAATTTATGACATATCATTGGTTGTGAATTACATAGTAATTTCATTGAGTTTAAGATACAAAAGAATGTGTATCCCAGATGAAATTTCAAGTGCCTTGTAATAATATTAGAAACATGTTAGAAATACATGTATGCATTGGTTGCTTTGGGGTCACTGTGACTAAAAGCCTGGTGGTAGTAACTTAAAGGAGGAGGGGTTGTTTTGGTCCAGGCTTCACCTCTTTTTTCTTCAATGACACTGGGGAGTGTACCCAGGACCCCAAGCATTCCAGGCAATAGCTTACCCACCAAGTTATTTCCCTGCTGGCAGATCTATTTTTGGCTTACAGTTGTAAAGAGATTTTGGTCCATCTTCTGGGGGAAGGCATGGTGGAACAGCTTCTTGATGTCAGACATCACAGGGACTTGGAAGCAGGGAAGGGGATGGGTAGGTGAGGGTTAGAGCTGGTCTTTAGTCTTCAAAAGTTTACCTCCACCATATAGGCCTGTGATGGCCCAGGACAATGCGATGCCTGCGTGTGAATGACAGAGGCCTTATGACTTAGCATTAGACACCTACATAAGGCCTCTTTGCACCAGGTCTGCCATATAGTAGCAGCTTTGGCTAAGGGAACTAATATACAACTTGAACCTGGGCAAAGGGCTGATTAATATCCTGGGAAAGGTGCAAAGGGCCATTGCACGAGTACGCCACGCTGTGATACTGCTGAAGAAATAAAAGGTCATGGTTGTCTGTAGCCATAGCTATCAGACTGCTTGTTACTTGCGACAGAATTGGGCTTTTGTGGTCCAATGACTAAGTTTTATAATAGTTTATAAAGGAAAGAACATGAAAACTTTCTGAATCGAAATTTCGGGGGAGAGGCCAGAAGGCTCTAAGACAGAGCTCTGCTTGGCTGCTGGACAGGAGCTCCACAGGGTTTGATTGCCATGAGCACGGCTGAGTCTTGTTTGGACAAAAGCACTTTTCACTGGTCTCTCCCACTACAAATGGTGCCATACCAAAAGCCAAGGCCAAAGCCTGAGGAGGCTTCTTTATGACCCTCCACAAGTAAAGGTGCTGAATTTCCTGTGGACGATAGACTCTTTATGGTGATTGGTACACGCGTGGGTTCTCCACTGTGTATTTCATTGATGATTGGTTGCATATCTATTTGAGCATAACCTTGGGCTCAGGGCCTTGTGAACTTGGAGTTACAAGACAGACGATGGTGAGGTTGAGGAAGTTCCCAGCTGTCCACAGTCCTCCTCTACGGCAGAAAACACTGTTCCCATTCCACTCATATGTGCTGTGGAGAATCCTAATGGGTCTAGGGCCATGCTTGTGATTAGCACTGCCCTGAGTTGCAGAAGATGAGCTGGTGTGTTGGTTAACCAGATGTTTAAGGGTAGGGCGTTCCCTAAGAAACCCAGGAAAGGTTTCTTTCCTTCTTTCTCTGTTTCTGCCTCTTCCTCTGTGTATACCTCTGTCCCTGAGTCATAGGCTCCTCATCATTTTCTTTGCTTTCCTATCGGCCTCTCTTCCTGTCCTTCCTGATCTCTGAAGATACTGCTAGGAAGGGATATAGGGAAAAACAGGAAGACAGATGTTCATGAGGCCATTGGAACTATAGCTTGGGATGTGACCATTTTGAAAAGAGTCAACTTAACTCTGACACCAGTAGGTTGCCAACCAAAGTTATACAGATCTCTAAGTGACTTTGGGGGTGACATGGCAGGTAAAAACATCACCTTTGGGGCTTGGTGGATCAGTGGTAAAGTGCTTACCTTATAGACTACACACAGCATCACACACACACACACACACACACACACACACACACACACACAGTGATTGAGGAAGATACCTGACATCAATGTCTATCCTCCACACACATCCACACACACTTGCACACGAACATGTACCTACATCCATTTGTAGGTTGTTGAAGCATCATCTATATTTAAGAGCCTGTGACATCACACTGTACTTCTGTATTTATTGCCCATCAATGTTGCTTTTAGAAAGCAAGCTGGTTCCAGCTGACAGACGCCTCCTGTCTTCTAGCCTTCAGTTCCAAAGGGAGTGTTTATTTTCTATAAGATTCTGAAAAGGGCTTGATTTCTCCCTTTTATGGGCATTGCAGATGCAAAGAACTTGAAGCCATACTTCTTTTCAGATTTTAAAAAATACTGTTCAAATATTGCAGGCATACACATTATTGTTAGACACAATACCCGTGAAAGAAAGCCCAGGGCAGCATTGTTCCTAAGAGACCTCCTTCATATTAGAGCTCAGAGCTGAGGAAGGGAGAATGCCCCTGGGCAGACCACTGTTTAGTAGGTGTGGCTGGACATAGATTGTCCTCTATGGCAGCTATTAGTAATTATATTTACGGATGAGAAAATGAATTTTCCATAGGTGTCTGAGGGTGACCTATCAAAGGGCAGAACTAGAGTGTTGATGGCCATTGCTTTGCCCTTGAGAGAATGGGCTCTGTCTGCTCAGAGGGAGGCCCGTCCTGACACCCAGGAAGGCCTGATGACCATGCTCAGCAATATATTCACAGGTGCTGGGAATTACTATATTGTCTTTGGAGAAGGCTACTGTTTTACCTATTACAGGAAAGAGTTATAATAATAATAGTAATAATAACCATTGTTTTTAAAAATCATGTTAGACTGGAGAGTTGGCTTAGGTGGTAAAAACCCTTGACATGCAAGCCGGTGGTGTAAGGAGAGAATGGACTGCCAAAAGTTGCTCCCCCACAACCTCACATGCACTCTAACATGTATGTGCATATCAGTGTGTGCACATGTGAGTCTGTGTGTGTGCCCAAACACACATCATAATACACTCACAATAATGATAAAGAATTGAATCTGTAATCTCCTTGAAGTAATTTCATTGTATGAGCACAGCTTTCTCTAGTGTGTCTGCATGAATTTTTGACAGTAATGCATGGGCACACAGTAGAAAGGACTCACCCAGTTTTGTAGGGACCCCGGACTGGGCATCGACTCTAAGTGTATAAAAGTCTGTTCTTTATGAGGATTCAATTTCTGCAGTTTTCCCATGAACCTCTGCCGCGTCCCACGTGACTTGGGTCTAGGAACCACCCAGCTGAGTTTATTTTTCAAGGCATTTTAATCTTGGTTAGGTATGAACAGGCACACATCAGTATGGGTCTCAGTTACTCCTTTGGCATGTCCTTGATCCTTCCACTTTGTACTTAGATTGGATTCCTTCTGTAGAGCAGCTGGACAGTTTCCCTTAAGATGGATTTGGGGGGGCAGTCCACAATGGCTTTGTCACTACAAACACTATGATGCTGCAGTGTGGGTTGCCCCATCAGCTGTGCAAAGATGACTGTGGGAGACCCTGGTACCTGAGCAGAGACACATGAAGGTAGGACTGTGAGGATGCTTCGCAGGGAAAGTTAAGCCGAGTTCTGTGTTTGTGCATACTGGCATCCAGGGACAACACTACTCAACCCTGCCTCATCTCCAGGCTTTCACACCGGCCCTGCTGCACTGAAGTAAATTATACTTTCTTTATTGCTCAGGAAGTGCTAAAAACTAGGCAGAAACCCAAATCCTTCTTACTTAAGTGACAGTGTGTTCTTTTGAGGAAAATAGTTTCCTTTTCTGTACAGAAATCAGAAGAAATGCTGGCATTTTAGTGACTTGGAAGAATCATCATGACCAAGGAAACTTATGAAAGAAAGAGTTTATTTGGGGCTTACAGTTTCAGAGGGTGAGTCCATGACCATTATGGTAGGGAGCATAGCAGCAGGCAGGTATGGTGCTGGGGCATAGCTGAGAGCTTACATGCTGAGAAAACAATGATGAGAGAAGGAGAGCTAGCTGGGAATGGTGTGGCCTATTAAAACCTCGGAGCCCACTGTCAGTGACACACCTCCAACAAAGCCACGCCTCCTCATCCTTCCTAAACAGTTCTACCAACTAAGCTTTCAAATATATGAGCCTATGGAGCCATTTTCATTCCAATCACACACCCCACAACCTTTCCATTAACTCTCAGGCTTCTTTTCATTGGTAGGGAGTGAGGGTAGTGGTGGTATTTTATGCCCCTTCCCTAAGCTATTGGGTTTAATTCTTAGTTTAGGAACTTTACATTATTTTTACTTATGCATAAAGGTATTTAAATCTGCATATCTTTCTATTTTCCACACTTTTTTCTTTCTTTCTTTTTTTTTTTTTTTTTGAGACAGGGTTTCTCTGTGCAGCCTTGTAGAGCAGACTGGCCTCAAACTCACAGAGAACTTCCTACCTCTGCCTCCCAGGTGGTGGAATTAAAGATGTATGCCACGCTTGCCAGTCTCTACTTTCTACAATGTTGATACAATGTTTCTGTGTGTGTTCTATATAGAATATTTTCAAAGTTATTTTTTGTAGACTTATGAACTATTTAGAAGTGCTTTTTGAAGTCCTGTGTGTTTGGGAAGATAAGAAACCTCACTGATTTTTCCCTGCTTGTATTGTGACTGTTGTATGACACAGACTTCCAGATGTGTTAAAACATGTTCTGTGATGACAAGCTGGCATCAGATTCCACAAATGTTCCACATGTCTTTTTTATTGTTCTCACTGGTTCAAACTAGTCCTTCCCAATCTGTTTAGTATATGCTGCTTGATTTATTTTGTTGCATAGTCTACCAGTTTGGGCTTTTTAAGTTTTTGGAGATTGGCATCCCATTGTGTAGCCCAGGCTAGCTATTTCCAGAGGCCATGTCCATTGCGTTGTAAACTCTGTAGTGGAATCTTGAGCATGGTGTAAGGACACAGGCTATTTGTGTGTTTGTAACAGAAACTCAGCTTCAGCTGGCTTCAGTAAAAATGACTGTTCATTAACTCAGCTAGATGAGAAATCCTGGAGTTCCTTGTTCGAGTGCAGCTGGATCCATTTAGTCACGAAAGGTCATTAGAGTCAGTCACTTTTAATGTTGTTTGTTGTGGGAACTTAATCCATTTAGCCAATAACTTCTAGGGTGGCTAGCCCTATGGGTGTGGTTTTCTCTGAGTATGTGACAGATGAGCCGAGGAGGGGCTCATGTGCCCTCTGTCTCGGTATGGTTGGAGCCAGAGCCAGAGCAGTTGGTGCTCTTCCCCCTTGGACAGAGCCGCTGGATGAGTGGGCTGGATCAGCAGCGACGTCTGCTTTGTTCTGTATTCATGAGTTTGTCTTTTCATTGCACCCCTTAATAAACTGGTAAATACGCTTTTGTGGGTTCTCACTATATATGGCACCCAAGATGGGGCCCGAACCCATGGCCCTGAGATTAAGAGTCTCATGCTCTACAGACTGAGCTGTCAGGGCCAGTGGCATGCTGGAAGTGCCCTGGGGCAGGTCACAACAAGCTGTGGCTTTCAGAGAACAGAGTAGCTGCTGGTGAAAGGGCCCAAATGCTGACAGGCCACACGGGGCAAAGGGCTCCAGCAGGCCATGTGAACTATCCTTTTTGCTTTGGAGACATCCTCTTTAGTACTTTGTCCTGTAGGTTACAAAATATTCCTAAGTAATGCTGGTCAAAGAGAGCTTCTCTCTTCCAGTCCCAGTAGCAGTGGTATTTGCTGATCTCCTGTACCTGACCAGGTCACTTGACTGGGTGTGGTCACTCTGTCCATCTCTGATGAGTTCATTTGACTAGATGTGATGCATGCTCATGGACCTGGAGGTGGGATTGGGTCAGCTTTGGTTAAACCACTCTCCTATAGCTAATGATGGAGAGGCTAGTTCTCTGAGAAAAATCTGCAACCCAGGCAAGGGACACACAGCAAATGTTCACATCCTCAATCTAATTTCTGGCTTTTTTGCTGCTCATTGCAGGATAGTGTTGAGTTTAGAAACATCTGCAGTCACCTGGCCCTGCAAATTGAAGGACAACAGTTCGACAGAGACTTGAATGCTGCGCACCAGTGTCTGAAGACGATAGTGAAGAAGTTGATCCAGTCACTTGCTAATCTCCCTTCGGATGCCCATGTGGTTGCCTGTGCTTCCTTGAGACAAATCTTACAGAATCTCCCAGATGTATGAGCGTGAGAGACAGCCAGACTACTGCTGGCCCTGCTAAGAGAACTGGATCTTTCACTTTCCTAAAAAAACTAACAGTGATGGGTCTTTATATTCCCCCAAAAGACTTGAGAGTTCATGTCTAAATCTGATCAAGAGCACCTGTAGCCTTCAGCATGATAGCATGGCGAGTGCACATATTTTTAAAGTTGTAGTGCGTATTTTTTTTTTGGTTTTATGAGACAAGGTTTCTCTGTATTGTTTTGGAGGCTGTCGGTCCAGCCTGGCCTCGAACTCACAGAGATCCGCCTGCCTCTGCCTCCTGAGTGCTGGGACTAAAGGCGTGCACCACCACCGCCCGGCTATAGTGCATATTTTTTAAGTACATTGACTTTCTGCTGATTTTCTGACTGAGACAAAGCTCTCTTTGTGGAGAGAATTGGATTGTATACATATATGTATATATTTATTAACCATATTAAGCATTGGTTTTGACTGAATGATATTTGAATCTATATTTGTATTGTTGTGGGTTATAGGGCTTAACAGAGATGCGTACATTAGAAGGATCATGGCTCTTCACTTAATGTGAGTGAATGGGACATTTAGTGACTGACACATTCTGTTTGCTGGGCACTTCATTATAGGCAATGACAGTGCTCTTTAGTCATAGAACTACAGGTGTCAGTCATTGTGAGTCTAGCAGTGTCATTTGCAACTTACCACTGGGTAGAAGAACTGCTTCTAAACCTCTATATACTTATCTGTATATTTAAGATAAACTATGGGTGTGCCAAGCTTATGTGATATGTAAATACAAGTACATACTATTAAAGTGTCAATGTGGAACCATCTAGCTTCTCTTACTGTTTCTAAACATTCCAACAGGAAATAAGAAAGTGCTGCAAATAGAACGAGGGAGAGGGCACTCTAGAGATAGAATCTCCTTGCAGAAGGTGGTTTCATTGTTATTTATTTGGTAACAATTATCTACACATGCTTTCTGTTGTTCAACAACTTCTCCTGGAGCTAAAAAAGGCCTTCCTGCCTGTGCCGTGGAAGTCTGTTGTGCAAACAGCACCGGGTTAGGAGGGGGAAAGATCACAGTGGATATGAATGGCTTGTTTTGGAAAGAATTAATAACTGGGTTTGTGTGGTGAGGCATATCTGTCTAAAATAAGTGTTAGTAATAAGCAAAGCCCCCTTTCCTGAAAATAGTTTTTCATAAATATATTACCATTCCTCTCCCTCATCTCTTCCCAGATAAAACATAAAATCATAAACTGTATTATATAAGCAAAAGGCCAATATGATAAAAACACTCAAACAAAGAAATATGAGGCAAAAAATCCCTCCAAAAACACCATTGAGTTTGTTTTGTGTGGCTATCTACTGCTGAGCTTGGGGCCTGCCATTAAGTGTGGTTTACATCAGTGAGAAGATGCCATTGGAGAAAGCCAACTTTCCCTTTGTAGAGACTCTCAGTTGAAGATAGTTTCTTGGTTAGAGATGTGATCTTCTGTCCACCCCCCTCTCTCAGTGTTGGTACCCATCTGGCTTGGGCCTGTGTAGAGACTGTGCATGCTGCCAAAGTCTCTGCAAGTTCATATGTGGCCAGTGCTGATGTGTCTGGAAGACATTGTTCCCTCAGAGTCATCCATTCCCTCTAGTTCTTAAAATATTTCCCCTCCTCTTCCACATATTTCCCCAAACTTTGAGTTGAGAGGTTTGATGAAGGCATGCCATTTAGGACCAAGTGTTCCAAAGTCTCTCAATCTCTGCACATTGTCCAGCTGTGTGTCTCTGGGATACTTGCCATACACTCTAGGAGGAAGCTTCTCTGATGATGATTGAACTAGACACTGGTCTATCGGTACAGCAGAATGTTGTTAGGAGTCATTTTATTGCTTTGTTCCTTCAGCAGAACACTAGTATTTGGTTTTCCACTAGGTTCTTGGTTTATCTAGTTTCAGGTTCTTAGCCACCCAAGCAGTAACAAGTATGGGTCCCGTCTCATGGAAAGGACCTTAAATCTAATCAGATAATAGTTGGATACATCTCTTGTGCCACTGTTAGTCCAACACATCACGCAGTTAGGACACATTGCAGATTATAGGGTTTGCATCTGGGTTGGTGTTTACCTTTCTCCTCTGGTAGTGTGCAGAGTACCTACCAGTGTCACGACAAGTAGGGTTGAAGGCTCTAGTAAGGCTCCAGCTTCACTACCCCATGTTCAGTGAGATATGTAAGTGTTGTTTCAGCAATAGAGCCTTACCATCAGTTTGTGAAGAGCAGCCTATAGCCTTGACAATAGTTTGAGTGGTTTGGAAGTTTACATGGAGCCCCTTTGGCCAACAACTTAATCTGATGAAATGTCTAGTTGGGGCTCCCCGGCACCTGTTATTTTGTGACTCCATTTAGATTTATTTCATATGTGTGTGCATTTTAAGAAATGTCTGCTATAGTAGGCTTCTATATGCCTCCTGCTCAACTGGCCTCTAGTATTAGCTGCCTTTCCCTGTATTGCTTTCTTTATTTCTTTCTTTCCTCCCTTGTTCTGTTTAATCCTCTCATTCCAGTCTTCCCCATTTTTTCATGTGGTGGTTTGAAAGAAAATAGCCCCATAGGCCCATAGTGAGTGGCACTGTTAGGTAGTGTGGCCTTGTTGGATTAGGTGTGGCTTTGCTGAAGGGAGTGCACACTAAGGGGTAAACTTTGAGGTGTCAGAAGCTCAAACCAGTCGCTTCCTGCTGCCTGCAGATCTGGGTGTAGAACTCTCAGCTCCTTCTCCAGTACCATATCTGGCTGCGTGCTGCCATGGTTCCGGCCATGACAATGGACTAAACCTCTGAACTATAAGCCAGCTTCAATGAAATTCTTTCTTTCATAAGAGTTGCCATGGTCATAGTGTCTCCACAGCAATAAAAACTTACCTAAGACACTCCATAATATATATTCAATTTCATCTTCCCTCCCCCACTAGTCCCTTACTAGGTAATTAACCTCTGAGGTTATCGGGCTTGTAGCATGCCAATTGAAGGCTTAAAAGTTAACATCCACATGTAAGAGAATACATATTTTTCCTTTTGGAGTCCCAGTTACCTCACTCAGGATGATTTTTTTTCTAACTCTGTTAATCTGTCCATGAATTCCCTGATTTTTTAAACAACTGACTAATATCCCATTGTGTAAACATACTACATTTTCATTGTCCATTCATCATTGATAGATATCTAGGCTGTTTTTATTAAAGATAGAGTAGCAATGAACATAGATGAGAAAGTATCTCTGTAGTAAGGTGTAGTGTTCTTTGGATATATGCACAGGAGTGTGTGCTGGCTAGGCTTATGTCAGCTTGGCACAAGCTACCCTCATCTGAGAAAAATGCCTCATAAGATTGGGCTGTAGGCAAGCCAGTAGTACGTTTTCTTAATTAGTGATAGATGGATGTCCTAGTGAGGGTTACTGTTACTATGATGAAACACCATCACCAAAGCAACTTGGGGAGGAAAGGGTTTATTTGACTTACACTTCTAAATCACTGTCCACCATGCAGGGAAGTCAGGTCAGAAACTCAAGCAGGGTGGGACCCTGGAGTCAGGAGCAGATGCAGAGGCCATGGAGGGTACTGCTTACTGGCTTGCTCCTCATGGCTCTCGCAGCCTGTTTACTTATAGAACCCAAGGCAACTAGTCTAGGTGGAAGTGTTCTCTAAGCAACTTGGAGAGGAAAGTCAAACAATCCCTTTCTTCTCCAAGTTGCTTTGGCCAAGATGTTTTATCACAGCAATAGAAACTCTAAGACACACAGTTTCTCTCCAAAGTCTGATTGGCTTCCTCAACTTAAATGATGGCCTTTGGTGGATAGGCAACCATTGAGATTCGTATGTTAGACAGAATATTGGACTGCAAGCATCAAATATTCCACATCTTAAATCCCTCTCAATAGTTGGCCCCCTTTCCACGTTTCTTCCTTCTCTAGTGCCAGATCCGCATGCAGTAAATCTATCTGAAATGATGATAAATCCCCAGGCTCCATGTGTTTCAAGACATGTGATTCATCAGAACTCAACTGAGAAGCTGAGCATCACCTGGGGGGCTCTTCACTGGGGAGCACAGTGTTCCACGTTATGGCTAAAGACTCACCACAGTCCTGGCATTGCTAACTCCACGTCACTTCCTATATAAATGAGCATGTCTGCATTGTGCTCACTGTCCTAAGTCAGGAGACACTTCCAAGGCTAGAAGAAACCTCTCCTGGCACAGAAGTGTCACCAATTCTTCCCCCTGGCCTTGATGATAATTACAGTGATCATGGTTTCACCTTCATTTTTGTAAAGATGAATTAGGAAATGTCTGTGGAGCATACGGGTATCTGGCAGAAAAACAAATTCCCAGTGAGCCCAGAAACAAGTTGCAGAAAGCAGTTTTGGCTGCAGTTGGTACAAAGAGGAGATTCTGCAAGGCTCTTTCCCTCCTCGTGTGTGGATGTTGCTCAGAATGTAACTTGAGAGTGCAGAGTTCAGTACAAGCTTGGAAGACACGGAGAGCGGGAGAGGGAGTGGGGGAAGAGTGCTGAGCTTGTGGGGAGGGTGGAAAGGGTGCAAGTATACAGAGGAGCCTGGGACTGTGCCCCAAACATGAAGAACGCTGTAATTTGGGAAACGTGCGTGTTGGGAGTGCCATCATCTCCTTTCTGGGATCATTACATGAGCTTGGCTGGTTTCAGACTTGCTCTAATGCAAAGCATCATAATCACACATTCTAATGGCCTGGAAACCCCAGTGCCATGAGGGCTCTTGGAAAAGCAATCACAGGCAAGCCTCCAAGCTAGTTTTCAGTCTTCTCTCATCTCTTAATCCTCAGTCTTCTCTCAGCCCCTGTCTGTCTCTTGGAGCCTCTTGCATGGAATTGTAGCCAAAGGCATTCATAAGACTGAATTGCATTATGATTTTCATGTCTAAATATTTTTTATGTATAAGTAAAGTTAGCAGATGTTGGTCTCTGGTTCTTTTCCTTCACTTTCCACCTATTCTCTTGCCCTGCTGTCCAGTCTCAGGTTTCATGGTATTTGCCATGACTTGCTGTGACTTTCAGAATTGAACACTATGTATCCAGGGCAGGAATACTGTGTCTACTTACATTGGATGAACAGAATATCCAGGGGGAATTTGAGAACCTCCTGTGCATTTTCTCAAAATTTTGACTGAAATAAATGAGATAAACCTTGTTTATATAACTGTCCTCACACTTCTGTTTAATTAAAGTTAAACCTGCATTTCTCTATATTTTGAATTTTACAATTTTTGTAACATCTCAAGACTGAGTGGTGCTGGCACACACCTATAGTCCCAGCACTCTAGAGGCAGGGGCAGGTGGATCTCTGTGAGTTCAAGGCCAGCCCTGTCTACAGAGAGAGTTCCAGGACAGCCAGGGTGGTTATACCCTGTCTTGAAAAAACCAAGAAAAAAATCTGTTTTCAAAACCAATTTAGGAATTTTCCATAGGAGAAAAAAGCTCCTAGGTTTAGCAGGATCAAGCAATCTCCAGGAAATAGGGTTATAATTTCTTATTATTGCCCTGGACATTGTTTTGCCATTTTCCTCTGAGACTTGCTGTGAAAAAATTGCTGTTTCCATCATTCACAAGCATTCAGAGATTTAATGTACCTGAGGTAGGCATCGGAGCACTGATCAAATACCCCTTTACATACACAGGACAGCAGGCCTGTCATTTTTCCTTATGCCTTAGTTGTCTTAACAGTTGACTTAACCAAGATGGAATAAGTGAAGATGAACCAATAGCAATTTGTGAGATATGTGTGTTTGTGTGGGTGTACTTTCCTATACC